GCTATGTTGCTAGGTTGGAAACTCAGTCTTGCAAAGATGTCAGTTCTTCCCCAATTGATCTATAAATTCCATTCAATCTCAGTCAAAATCCCAACAGATTGTGTGTGTGTGTGTGTGTGTGTGAATTGGCAGGGTCATGAAATTTAAATGGAAGTGCAGAGGACCAAAAATAGCCAAGACAATAGTTAAGAACAAAGCTTGAAGACTTATACTATCAGTCCCCAAGACTTGTTACAGAGCTCCAGTACTTGAACCAGAGTGCAATTCACCTAGCACCCAGGTCTTGGTTTCTAAATACTATTCTCCAATAAAAGAAACCAATGTTCTTTGGAAGAAGTGGTTAATTCCATAACTGGGGCATGGAAAATACAAGATGAGCCTGGAACATCTTTCAGTGCCAATAAGCAAGGAAATACATGGACAAGGATGAAGGCATGTAGAAAGGACACAGGAGTCAACCTGATGGAGCTCCTAAAGGCCAAACCTAAATCAATTTGAGCAACAAAATAAATAATGATCATATTGAATTCTAACCCATAGACTGAAACAAATAACCATGAGTTTATACTGATATAAGTAAATGAGGGAGAAGGGACATCTTTTCCTTACAGAAGAATTCCAGTTAATGTAACAGGGAATTAGGAAACTACAAAACCACCACCGGGAAAACAGTACAGTAATTGTTGCAAGCAGGATGGGTGCTAAAATCAGTCGGCAAAAGTTTGAGATCAGTTACAAAGGGGAAAATAGTAACTACAATGGAGAGACCCAGTAGACACTGCCATAACCATGATCTTGGTTAATATGTCAAAATCTCGAAAGACGAGGAAAAACTAAGAAACTGTCACAGATTGGAGGAGACTAAGGAGACATAACTGGATGCAAGATGGAATCTTAGATTAAATCATAGAATAGGAAAAGGACATTAGTGGGAAAAAAAAACCCAGGAAATTCAAATAAAGTCTGTTAATATATCAATATCAATATATGTTAATTGTTTTGATCATTGTACTATGGTTGTGTAAGATATAAACATTGGAAAAGCTGGGAGAAAGGTATATGTGAACTCTTTTTTGCAACTCTTCTGTAAGCTTAAAATTATTTCAAAATACAAGTTAAAAAAAAACTACCATGGTATTGATACAGGCCCATCAGTTTCCCAGGGCTCCTGTAAGCAAATGCCACAAACTGGGTGGCTTAAAACAAAAGAAATTTAATCTCAGTTCTGGAGGCTAGAAGTTCACAGTCAAGGTGTCAGCAGGGCTATGCTCCCTCAGAAGGCTCTAGGAGAGGATCCTTACTTGCCTCTCTTCCTGTCCTGGTGGTTACTGGCAATGTTTGGTATTTCTTTGGCTTGTAGTTGCATCACTTCAGTCTCTGTCTCTATCTTCACCTGGTTTTCATCCCCGTGTCTGTTATTTCCTCTCCTCTTCTAAGGATATCAGTCATATTGGATTGAGTCCACCCTAATCCCAATATGATCTCTCTTTAACTAATAGTATGCAGACTATTTCCAAACCAGGTTACATTCTGAGGTTTCAGTTGGATATGAATTTTTGAGGGGATACTCTTCAACCCAGTACGCAAGTATAGGCAAATAGATCCACAAAACAGAATAAAAATTGTAGAAAGACTCACATATTGGGTCTGACTTATGACAGATGTGCCACTGCAATGCAGTGGGAAAAGAAAGGTCTTTTTAATAAATGAGCCAAATGAAAATCTGCATGTGGATAAAAAGAATTGTAACCTCTACTTCAAATCATATATATAAGACTAATTTCAGAGAGTCATATACTTAAATTTAATAGATAAAATAACAAATTGTTTTCACAGTACACAGAAGAGAGTATCTTTAAGACCTGGGGGTAGGCAAAGATTTCTTTACCTGACCACAAAAAGAACTGACATTATTGGGAAGAGTTGATAAATTGGACTTAAATTAAAAGCTTCTGTTCATCAGAATGAAAAGGCAAGCCATAGAGTAGAATATAATTGCAGTACAAAAGACCCATCAAAAGACTTGCATCTAAAATATATAAGGAACTCCTACAAATCAATAAGAAAAAGGTAGACAACTCATTTTTTCAAATGGGCAAAAGACTCAAACAAGCATTTCATACAAGAAAGTATCTAAATGGGCAATAAGCATATGAAAGGGTTCTAAACACCATTTGGAAGTGCAAATTAAAACCAAAATGAGATACCACTGAACACCCACCAGACTGGCTAAAAAATTTTAAACTAACCATTCCAAGCAGTGGCAAAGATGTGGAAAAACTAGAACTCATTACCCAAAGGATTAGAAATCAGTACAAGCACTTTGGACCAGCAGCTCTACTCCTGCTGGTATATACGCAACAGAAATGAGTCTGTATGTCCACTAAAAGACATGTGGAAGAGTTTATGTAGCAGCTTTACTGATAATAAATAACTGGAAGTAGTCTCTAAATATTTGTCAATAGTAGAATGTAAAATTAAGTTGTTTTATATTCATACCGCCGAAAACTATGTCAGTCAAAAAGACAGTTACTGCAATAACATGGATAAATTTCACAAATAATTGTTGACTGAAAGAAGGCAACACAAAAGAATACCAAATGATCCATTTATGTAAAGTTCAAAAACAAGCATAGTTAATCTCCAATGATAGAAATCGGGATAGTGGGTACCTGTTAGGGGTGGATATTGATTAGAAGTCATTTAAGGAGTACTAGAAGTGTTCTATGTGTTGATCTAGATGATAGTTGCACTGTTTGTGTGTGTTTGTGTGTCTTTAAATATTTAGCTTTATTAAGGTTTTTGTACATTAGAAGTATGTTATACTTAAATTTTTAAATTAAGAAAAATGTGATATGTTAACTTATTGAAACAAGTAGACTATCAATGTAAAATGAACCGAGTCTTCATTAAAATATTTGTTATACCAAGATTTTGTTTTAATGAGATTTCACTTGAACTTACATTAGAATAACATTTTATGGTTCACCGGTTACTTTCTCATAACACGGTAACAGATTTGTCATTTGGGTGTATTCCAGGATAAAGATTCTGGACTTTAAATCATAAATGATTTTTTCCAAGTTGATATATTGGAAATCTCAATATTGCATTGTTCATTTCTCTTTTAGGCTAAGACATCAAGCGCACAAAGAATTTTATGCCTACAAACAGGTAAGAAATTTACTTCAGATTGACTTTGATCATGTTTTTTGCCAAAATGAGAACTCAGATTTCCATTCATATTTTAAACTAGGACTCAATTTATTGGCATTCATTTTAGCATTTTGCTTGTAAAATTTCAGTTTGCAGTACAAAATAGATCAACTTCACTTTAAGTACTCTTCTTAAGTATTATTTTGAGTTATAGGAAGTTGAGATGATATAATAATATAATTTAACAGAAAACTTGAGCTAACATTTTGCTAAAGAGGAATTCTGTAGCTTATAATCCTTAAAGTTACTGTTAACCTAATAGAATTCAGAGATTTCATTAAATGAATTTTTTACCTCCTTTTCATTAGAAGACATACCAGTTTTTCAGAGGTGACCAGCTTTGTTATAGTTATCTCACCTCCTCCCCTTTGTACTTTAAATGTTAGCTTATGTCACACCACTAGAAGTCCAGATATATGGATCATCACTGTTTACCACTACCCCTTTATCCTATCCCTTTACTGATTTGATCTTTAAAGTATAAAGTCAGCTTTTATCGAAGGCCAACTAAAATTTATTTTTTTCTTCTATGTATTATCCATTAACATTTTACCACTGACACCAAACAGTGTACATAGGTGTTTCTTAATTTTCTTTTGGCTCTAAGCATGAAATTATTTTTGTTGTTGTTAGCTTTTTATTGTTTTTATGTATGTATGTATGTATGTATGTGTGTGTGTATTTTTGTAAGCTTCAGTTTATTTGGGTCTTTAACCTTGCTGACACGATGTTCCAGAACTAGCTCACCATTTTAGGATTACATATCTTTTTGTCCATCTTTTGTCCATGTCTCTCTGAAATCTGAGCTCATTGGCAAGTTCCTTAGATGTTCACACTGATATTGTAGGTAATCCCACACTCTTCTGTGGGATCCATACACACAGTGAAACGTTTTAGTTTTCTAAATGAAATTTTTTGTCTCAATTCTATCATAATCTTGACAACCTATAAGATATTTGTATGTAAGCTAACTAGAAAGTGAATTGGCCTTGGTGGCCATTTAAAGGGGAAATTGATGAAACTAATAGTCTTTATCAAAACACATGATAAAAATTGTCTTTAAAAATTACTGAATTGGAAATAGCATACATCCCTCCATAGCTAGATGGTAGTTTCTGATTGTGATTTCTGAAACTATGATGTGCCCTTAAAACTATTTTTGGTTCGGGAATATAAGATACTAAATTTAGAGATTTTTCCCCCAATTTCACTTGAAATGTAACTCTAACAAGCTAAGTTTAATCTCAGAAATTTTCTATTTAAATAATAATCTGCCCTCTTATCACTTGGCATACCTTTTGCCTGATATACAATCCCTACAAAGTCAGGTTAGGAACCAGCACCTGGATGAATTTTAAACCTATTTTTATAACTGGGTAGAACTAAAGTTTTCTGAAGATAGTGATGTATAAGAATAAGTGAAACTTCTAAAAGATTGATCTTTTTAATCTTTTATAAATTATGAATCAGCCAGTCCCATCAGCCAGTGCTGTGGTTTACTGAATCATAAGGCAATCAACCTTATTTATTTTCTCTCCATGTTAGCTCTTAGTCCAGATAGGCATGTGTTAATGTCTCTTCCCAAAATTTAATCTATTGTCAAAGAGATTTTAAAATTGTTTCCAGGAGAATATTGCATCATTGCTAAAGTTTAAAGAATGTTGCTAAAATGTGCTGTCTCAAACTGTAAAAGAGATTCTCTCCAATATTGAATTTGAGTGAAAATGAGCTATATATACCAAAGAAAAATAATCATGAGTACAATGAGGAATTTTTTAAATTACAGATTTAAATGGGCATAAGAATATGCTTTTTTTGTCTTATAGGTTATATTAAAAGAAAAAGTAAAAGAACTGAATTTACATGAGGTAAGTTGCCTTATAAGTATTTCAGTCTTGATCTATTTTCTAATAGAATTATGCTGTCATATGCTTAAACATCATTATTTTCAGAAGTTGAAAAAATAGGTTTATAGAATATTTAAGGTTGAGGTCACATAAAAATCAATACGTAAAGGCTTTAAGAGAGTAACATAACTCATATTTTTAATAGGGAAGATGCCAATGTAATGATGCTGCTTGCTGTCCATGCTATATGAGTAGGAGATAGATATAAGTTTTTCTACTCAACATGAATTTGGAGTAATTTCACTCTTGAAAATGTTCCCAGTAGTCCCTTCTTACCAATGTCACAAAAAAGTGATTATTTCTGGGGTTGGGAGTTTGGGGAGGCAAGGTAGAGGGATGAAGTAGGGAAGAACATATAGGGAGAGATGTAAATCCTTGGGATTGTCTAGTGTTGAGGTTGCATTGTTTGTTCATAGGTGTTCACTGTTATTTTTCTTTGTAACTTAAAACATACAAAAGTGTGTGTGTGTCCTGCTGTACACCTTAAGACACATAGTCTGTAAAAATTCTTTCTCATTTTATTCTTTGTGTTGCCTCTGACAATGTTCAGAATTTTTAATCTTAGAGCCCTTTTTCTTCCTCCTTTTGTGAGTTTTTGAATTAGTATTTAAAGCAAGGACTTGGAAAGCCGTATATTGTAGTATCGGTGTTTTATATAGTCTAATTATAGTGAAGCTACATTGCCAGTCTCTTTAAAAGAGAGTTTGTGAAATTACTTGAATAATAAAATTGATTTATATTATTCTTGAACACTTTGAAATCATCTACTGCTCCTTTGCTCTTTCTGCATATTTTTTATCAGAGTTGATATATTATCACATGGTTGAGCTAACCTTAGATTAAACTCAAGCATTGATTACTATTTGATTTTAAAATTTTCCCATTATTAAATTAGCCTAAATTAACATGAAGTAATAGAGAGTAATCCCTTTTCTATTTGGAGTCTCTTTGATGACCATAAATGAAAAGATTAAATTCTGACATACATTAGCAATATTGAATAACCAGGTTTGTCAAGAAACGAAGTCTTCCTTATTGGTTTGACCCAACAGTTTAGAGTCTTTATCCTGAATACATGCATCATGTTACGTAACTGTATGTCAGTATCCCAGCTGTACCCACCAATTCCAGTTTCAATGAGTGTGGCCAAGCTACTTATCTTTTTCCCCTTGTTATTTGAAGGTATAAACTAGGAAAACCTAACCTTGCTCTCTAGGTTGTTTCTAGAGGCCTCCATGTATTTTTCACAATTCATTTGGTCCTTTCAGGTTGCATTTCTTGGTGTCAAAACTATTTTTTTGTCAAGCTTTTAGATTTGTGTGCATTCCAGTAGCATATAGTCATATATAACTTAGTCCTATATAAGCACATGGAATTTAATATGGATACTGTTATTAGTGAATAATTATAATAGTGAAAAATCAGAGACAAGCTAAATTTTCTATCAATAGGGTAATGAATAAATAAAACATGATATGCTGGAAGATTAAGAAAGGATGGGAAGGAAGGTAACCTGATACAGCGATTCATAACAATGAGGTGCTATACAGCAGGCAAATTAAGGAATAAGCTCTATAAATATATCAGTCAACCTGGGAAAATCCCTAATGGGATCTTGAAAAAAGCAAGTTGCAAAATGATACCAATGTTTACATCACATACGTAAACTAAAAGAAACCACATTGCTCATGGGTTTATATGCATACTACAAAGTGTTTTACTGGGTTTGAGAAGGACATGTAATGATCACACAAAGAGAAAAGAAGAGGAAAGAGATTAGGGGAAGTTTGTCAAAAGGAATGTTAGTTTTATATGCAGTGTTTTTAAAGAAGGAAAATTAGTTAACGTTAAAAGTATTGAATATATAAAACATGTCAGACACTACTAAACCAGGAGACACAAACAAACATAAAATACTAATTTCTGCTCTCAAGAAGTTAGCAGTCTCATAGAGGCAACTGTTCTGTTATCTGGAGTATACACTTGAGAGGCTCTTAAGGGGTCCAGTATTGCGTGATCACATAGCTCCTTCTTGGCTTTTGCTCCCCTAAGGGAGCCTTCCTGGGACCTTGCAGACTCAGATGCCCAGACAGCAACGCCACCCCCACCCTACTCCCAGCATCCTAGACTATTTATATCATTTTTTGTTTAAATTTTTTTTTTACCAGTCTAGGAGTCAAGCAACACATGATAAATGAAGCTAAGGAGTGATGTATACATATTCAAAACATGAAAATATATTGTCCTTCTATAAAGAAAAATACCCTCTCTTAAAACCCATAGTTTAAGATAAAACCCCTGTTTCATCTTTTCTTCCTCTATCTTTTTATAGAGACAGAGAGAAGCAGATCTCTAAAATAAACATGTTTCTAGTTCTAGCCATGCAAATGGGATAATAAGTTGAATAGAGTCTTGGAGTCAAGGGAAACAGAAAGGTGCCATGGAAGCTGTGGCACACTGAGGCACACAAGTCCTGCGTAAAGAAGTTGCCAGCACTCAGCTCTAGCTAACTGTTGCCAGATCTGGGTTTTTTTTTCAAGAGAAGCCTGAGAGGCATTCTCAGGAAAAGAGGCATTAGTCTATGATCTACTTGCCATTTGCATTTAGTCTTTGATTTCTTCACCCAGTGTCCCCAGCTCTGGTTATGATGAGTGGTGCTTTCCCCATTAAATTTCTTTTGCACCGTTGTCAAAAATCAAATGACCATATTTTCGTGAGTCTGTTTTTGGATTCTCTATTCTGCTCCATTGATTTACATGCCTATCTCTTCAGTCTTGATCACTGTAGCTTTATAGTAAGTCTTAAAATCAAGTAGTATGATTTCTCCAACTTTATTCTTTTCCAGTACTATTTTAGCTAGTCTAGTTTCTTTGCTCTTCCATGTAAATGTTTGTCTATATGTACAAAAAAAAATCCTGCTGAGATTTTGATTAGTATTGCATTAAATCTATAAATCAGAGGAAAATTAGTATCTTTACTATGTCGAGTCTTCTAATTTATAAACACATTATGTGTTTCCATTTATTTATTTATTTGAAGCTCTGTTGTTAGGTGCATACACATTTAGGATTTTTATGTCTTCTTGGTGAATTGACTGTCAAGATCTCATGTCTTTTTCATCTTTCATAATTTTCTTTGCTTTGAAATTTTTGATACTAATGTAGCCACTCTAGCTTCTTTGATTAACATTTGCATCGCATGTTTTTTCCATCTTTTTATTATTTTCAGTCTACCTATATAATTTTATTTGAAGTGAGTTTTCTTGTCATGTTTTTTAATCCACTCTGCCTATCTGTCTTTTAATCAGTGTGTTTCGATAATTTAAATTCAATGCAATTATTGATATGTTTGGAATTAGATCTACCATTTTATCATTTGTCTTCTGCTTTCTCTTCTCTTTTTTTATTCCTTCATTTCCTTTTTCCTGCCTTCTTTTGGTTATTTGAACATTTTTAGTGTTCCATTTTATCTGTTGTGATTTTGACTTTTATACTTCTGTATAATTTTTTAGTGGTTGCTTAAGAATTACAAAATAAATACTTGGATCCAATTTTTAGCACTTCACTTGGAATATAGAAACCTTACATCCATATAGACCATTTTACATTTTCTCTTTATGCAACAGCTATCACATCACATCTACACACATTGAAAATTCCACCAGACGGTGTTATATTTTTTACTTTTAACCACTAGATATATTTTAAAGAATTTAGGAGAGAAAGAATAGTCTGTTATATTTATCCAGATATTTACCATTTCTGTTGCTCTTCATTCCCAGTGTCCCTAGTTCCCTTCCTATGTCATATTCTATCTGATGACTTTCCATTAGCAATTCTTTTAGAGCAGATCTGCTGACTATGACTTCTATTCATTAGCCTTCATCTGAGAAGGTCTTTAGTTCACCTTCATTCCTGAAGGTTCTTTTTATTGGATATAGAACTCTGGGTTGATGGTTCTTTTCTTTCAGCACTTTTTAAATGTGCCACTTCCTTCTGGCCTCCATGGTTTTCTGATGAGAAATTCACAGTCATTCACATCATTGATCTCTTATCATTAATGCGTCATTTTTCGAGATTTTTTTTTTCTTAAGTTTTCAGCAATTTGCTTATAATGTCTGGGCATGATGTCTGGGATTTCTTTGCATTTATCCTGTTTGAGGTTTACTCAACTTCACATATAGAAAGTTTTTCTTTCACCAAACTTGGGAAGTTTTCAGCCATTATTTCTTCAGTTTTTTTTTCCTGCATTGTATTCTTTCTATCCTGCCACCCCACCAGAGAAGGCCTCATCCACCTGCTGTTGCCATATACACCAATAGAACATGCATAGCCTTACAGAATTCTGAGCCCACATCCACAGTACGGTGGTACAGCCATCCACATAGCTTCCAAATCTGAACAAGTTTGGGTCCATACCTTCTTTCATCAGAGTGGTATTGCATGTATATGTATAGAAAGGAAAGAAGAATCTCCTCCCCTCTGCATCTCAGCAGCAGCTGGGATCCTCACTGCACAAGGACCAGGAAGAGTTATGCTTAAGTCAGTTTTCCTGGGTCAGGCAGATAGTGGGTGAGAAGTCATGTGGCAGGCACACTGTGTCCTTTCTTTCCACAGGAAGAAACTTGCCACAGGAAGTTAAGACTTGTATGCTGAAAACTATAAAACATCATCAAATGATATTAAAGAAGACCTAAATAAACAGAAAGACATCCTGTATTCATTGTTTGGAAGACTTACTATTGTTAAGATGGCAAATATTCCCCAAAATATTTACAGAATCAACACAATCTCTATCAAAATCACAGCTTCCTTTTTTTTTTTTGGTAGAAATTGACAAGCAGATCCCAAAATTCACATGGAAGTGCAAGGGACCCCAGAATAGCCAAAAACAATCTTGGAAAAGAACAGAGTTGGAGACCACACTTCCCAATTTCATAACTTACCACAAAGCTACAGTATTTTTGACAGCCTTAATACAGTATAGTAAGACTGGCAGAAAGATAGACATACAGATCAATGGAATAGAATTGAGAGTTCAGAAATAAACCCAGACATTTACGGTCAGTGATTTTCAACAAGGGTAGCCAGACAATTCCCTGGGAAAAGAGTAATCTGTTCAACAAATAGTGCTGGAATAAATAGATAACCACATTCAAAAGAATGAAGTTGAAGCCTTGTTTCACACCATATACAAAAATTGATCAAAGACTTAAATGTAACAACTAAAATTACAAAACTCTTAGAAGTGAACATAGACATAAATCTTTGTGGATTTGGATTAGACAATGGTTCCTTAGCCACAACACCTAACAAACAAGCAACCGAAGAAAAAACAGATAAATTGTACTTCATCAAAATTAACAACTTTTGTGCTTCAAAGGATATTATCAAGACACCCCACAGGGAGAAAATATTTGCAAATCTTATATCTGATAAGAGTGAAGTATCCAGAATATGTAAAGAACCCTTACAACTCAATAATAAAAGCCTACAGAATAAAAATATCTGCAAATATTATCCCAGTCTTTTCACCCTAAAAGGGCCTTTTGCAGAACAAAAGTTTTTTAATTTGATGAAGTCCTGTTTATCAGTTTTTTTCTTTGGTTGCTTATGCTTTAGGGATCATATCATGCTTTTGGTCCCTATGGATGTCCATTTGCTCCAGCACCATTTGTTGAAAAGCTGTGCTTTCACCATTGAAATTCTTTTCACTTTTGTCAAAATCAGTTGACTGTCTGATAAGAGATTTGTGTCTAGAAATATAAAGAACTCTTGCAACTTAATAATAAAAAGAAAAATAACCCAACTAAAATACAGGTGAAGGATTTGAATAGACGTTTCTCCAAAGAAAATATACAAATGGCCAATACACACAACATCTTTAGTCATTAAGGAAATTCAAATCAAACCACAATGAGATACCAACTTCACACCATCTAGGATGACTATATCAAAAAGACAGACAATAATAATTACCCAAAGATAAGGAGAAATTGAAACTTTCATACATTGCTGATGGTAATGTGAAATGGTGCAGCCACTTTGGAAGACAGTTTAGTAGTTCCTCAAAAAAGTTCAAGACTTACCATATGACACAGCAATTCTGCTCCTAGGTATATACCCCAAAGAACTGAAAACTTTTAAACAGACACTTGTACACCAAACACCAATGTCTAAAGCAGCGTTATTCACAGTAACCAAAGGGTAGAAACAGCCCAAGTGGCTATCAGCAGATGAATGGATAAACAAATTTGGTATAGCCATTAAATTGGAATACTGTTTAGCTATAAAAATGAAGTATCTGATTCATGCTGCAACATGGATGAACATTGAATGCATCATACTAAGTAGAAGACAGACACAAAGACCACAGATTATATGATACCATTTCATGATTCTGTTCCAATCTGGAAATGACCAGAATAGACAAATCCATTAAGACAGAAAGTTGATAATCCATCAAGACAGTAAGTTGATGGTGCTTGCCAGGGACTGGGGAGAAGGAAGAATAGAGAATGACTGCTTATGGGAATGGGCTTTTGGGAACAGCTGATGAAAATGTTCTGGAATTAGATAGTAGCAATGGTTGCACAACTCTGTGAATATACTAAATACTGCTGAATTATGTACTTTAAAGGAGTGAATATTTTAGTATGTGAATTATATCTCCATTTTTAAAAAGGGATGAGAACTCAGACTGGAGAAACAATCTACTGCTAATATACTAGAAAGTAAAGCTCATTTGCAAAATATGCTCTGTAAAGTTGTAAAATTAGTTTGACCCTTCAGGGAACTTGTCAGAAGTGAGATCTGAGGCTTTTCTCTTCATGATTGCTCTTGGCTTTTGGTTACCTTTAGCACTTAACATGTTAGAATTTATCTTTTCTTTTTTTCAGGTTACTATAGTTTTAGAATTTGTTCGAGAAGAACATAATAGCACATTATAACCACTAGCAGTGGTTATAATTTTGAAAAGTCTACAAATCTAATTTTGTAGACTAGAAAAATAAGCAAATAATAATGAGTGTCTTGTCCAACTTCTTGCCCTCTGGTGGGATCAGCACTGAATCTCCAACGGGCAGAGCCAGCCGTCCTGACCGTGCTTCAGAAGGCTGTGCTGGGAGGGAAGCTGGTGTTTAAGGCCAGAGGGCCTGTTCATGCAGTCTGGGAAGTAGGAACATCGTTTCCCCGCTACAGACAGGAAGCTGAGACCCAAAAAGATCACTCTAAGGCTGGAACTGCTAGTTTCTCAACTTTACCCACAGCTTGTCCTCAACCTTCCTCTAGAAAACATTTAAAATGGACCTGAAAATAGAGCCCCCCTTATGAAATTTAAATATGAATAAAAATAACTGGTATTGGTAGATAGACTCGCCTTACTGCCACCTCAGCTCTGTCCCTTCAACCTGAGCTGATGACAGTCCTGCGAGGGGAGCGGGGCAGGTAGTGTCCTCACTTTACAAATGAAGGGACAAAGTTTGAGAAGCATCACTATCGCAGACGTCACACCGCTAGTGGGTGTCCAAGTCCAGGCCAGCTGTCTGTCCTGCCTTCCTCCCTGCTCTCCTGCTGTCTCAACAGTAATGCCAAGTCTGATGAGACAGTTAGCCATTCTCCTCTTCCTGTGAAGATCCTGTCTGCTATGTACATAAGGCCCTGAAAGCTCCCTAGAGAAGAATGTTGGAAGACCAGCATTCACAGCACTGGCCATGGGGCACCAAGAGCCACATGTCCTGTTACATAACCTAAGAAGATGGGGTTACATGTTATAGGTTATAAAACAAGTGACAAGGAGGCCATGTCGGTAGTCGGCAAGAAATGGTGATTGTTGAACTAGGATCCCTGGAGATGGATGAGGAAGCAAACGGAGAAATTCAAGCTTTTGGGCAGCAGCAGCACATCAGTGTAACAGACCTGGGTCCCCAGCCAGGCGTGGCACTCGCCAACTGCATGGCCTCAGGAAACGTGGTGATTGCTCTGAGCTTCTTTTTCCTCATTTGTAAAGTTGGTAAATATGACCATACTTGGTGTCCCTGGGGCACTGTTAAGTGCCCAAGAAGTAGTGGTTGGAATCCGGCATCTGGGTGTAGAGGAGAAGGCCTCATTCCAAGCAGTGGAGCCTAGCCACCTGTCAGAGAGCAATCCTGCCCCCATTTGTACATTTTCACAAGTTTAAATTCAGTGACTCTTGAATAACTTCATATGAGAAAGACAGATACTGACAGGACAGTGCCAAAGTGAAGGGCCCCAGGAACTATAAAACGCATGTTACCAGGGAAAAGAGAGTCTCGGGGCCTGTCGCAGGGCATAAGCAGTCCCCTCGGGCTATGCTGCTGAGCAGGCAGAGAACTGCAGACAGTCAGCCCCTCAGCACACCACAGGCCAAGTACGTTACGTCCAGCCTATCTAGTGAGAATAAACGTAAGTCAGACTCTTCTGACACACTGAAGTAAAGGAAGCTGCCTTTTGCTTTGTTTTCTCCCTTCTGCCTTCCATCTTTGAAGACGTGACGGGAAGAGCAGGAGACTCTTATTCAGAAGACCTTGCCCATTCGAGCCTTTCTTTCACTTAAGGAACTGTGGGACTTTGTAAGTTCCTTCTAAATGGCTGGGCCTCAGGAGCCTGCACTTCACCTTGTGGCCTGAGAAAGCACTGAGCACTTTGCCTCACCTGTGAATTTATCTTTCAGCTGTGTGCAGTGTGTCTAGAAGACTTCAAGCCTAGAGATGAGTTGGGGATTTGTCCATGTAAACATGCCTTCCACAGAAAGTGAGTACTGGTGTGGAATTATTTAAGGGGACCCGAGTTTGAGGCACATCGGCCAACTTACTTAGGGCTAGGGACAGTGCCAGACAAGCTTTTGGCTTCATGACTGGTCTGTAATCCAGAAAGCACCCTACGGGTGGGGTGTGTGTGTGTGTGTGTGTCTGTGACATTAGGAGGGATCGGGGTGATGGAACATGACCACCATGGCAGGACTTTGGGCAGAAAGCCAGATGAGCCCACACCTCCTTGGAGCCCAGGCTATAAGCAGCTGTTTAACTGGAACTTTCCAATGAGAGCTTCCATTCCTAAAACCATATTTTAATCAAAATTATAGTTATTTTAAATCAAGATAAGTCTGAATATAAAGGCTGGTATGGGGCTGTCTCTCCTTTCCTGCAGACATACTCATATTCCCCTTTCCCTTACAATTTTATGTTTTGCATTTCTGTTAGAAAATTCTATTTCTCCTACTTCCCACCATCCTCCTCAGTGTACTTCCTTCTGTAAGAAGCAGTGGATGACTGAGGGCATAGCATGCTGACTGTGGCTTCTTACTGTCACTGTTTAGAAGGTTGGAGACTCTGGTTCCTCCAGAGGGTAAACAGTGTTGTCCGAGTGGAGCGCCTTGTTCACACTGCCCAGCTCTGGGCGACAGATGTGCTCAACACGAGGCGTGTGGGCAGAGGGTACCATGAACGTGGAACTGATGTCTTCCCTCCTGTGGTGTCTCATTCTGCAGGTGCCTTATTAAGTGGCTGGAGGTTCGGAAAGTATGTCCACTGTGCAACATGCCAGTTCTGCAGCTGGCCCAGTTGCACAGTAAGCAGGACCGTGGACCCCCCCAGGGGCCCCTGCCTGGGGCAGAGAACATTGTATAGCTCACTACAAGGATCAGACTGTTGCGGGATCCCACGTCCGCATGGAGGCAGGAGAAACACGAGTGGTCTCTGTTGGCTGCTCTACCTGGGGCACCAGCTGCCACTTCCTTTGCCTCATGAAGAACTCTTGGGCCAGCTAAGCCGAGAACCCAGACTTCTGGGTCTTGTGACAACCAAAGCACGCTGACACTACTCCATGTCAAGAGAAGAGGTGTGAATGAGCCTGCGGGTTTGGTTCAAGAAACTTCATGAGAGTCTCTTGCTGACTCCATTACACGCTGTCTCCCAAGCAAGGTGAATCTTTCTCAAGCAGAAGGGAAGATAAACACAAGTGTTAGAGAAGGGAACTGAGGGCAGGTCTTTAAAGCCACACACCCCCACCCCCACCCTGTGGACAGAGGAGCTTCTGTGCAGACTGTGCATGCCTTAGCAGCAGCGAACCCTCCCGGCAGCCCCTGAGCCAAGTAAAACCAGCAGTTACCTCAGCCGAAGCACGACCAGTTGCCAGTGGTTGGTGAGGCAGTGCCAACAAAGCTTTTCGCATTATGTTCCTGTGATAAGGCCATCTTGGGGCCCAAGGGTTTTGGTTACAACAAAGCAGCAGTGCCCCTTGCCACCGCTTCTCCCTGTTTCACACCACTTCCTTATCAAATCATCTAAGCTAAAAAACATTAGATGCGCTTGGAAAGGCCTGGTCAGAAGCCATTTCCTCTTGTTCTCCCCACCTCCACGCCCCACCTCGCCAGTGAGGCACAGCCAAGCGCCATCAGGAGCCCTAGCAGGGGGTGGGATCTGAGCCCATGCTGTCCCTATGTAACTCAGGCCTTGGGGTGCTGCCCACATCCTCGCATACGCAGTATGGTTGCAGCATAGCTGCTGGCCTTGTCCCCCTGCCTCAGAAGGGAGCTACTGAGAGTCCATCAGACAGCTGAGGATCGCCAGTCCTGGCCCACTTGACAAAGGAGGATGCCGACCCCCTTCCCTCTTCCCTCCTTCCTTCCCTCTATCCTCTCTCTTGCCCTATCAGTTTCTACTTCAGAGAAAAATGCCTATCATTCACTTTTTAACAACTTAAAGCATCCTAAATAAAATCCCTATGTAATTTTTTAGCCAGGGCTCCACTTGAAAATGTAGTTTCAGGAAGCTCCTGCAGGGCTGTTCACTCATTGGCACGTGCCTCAGTATTTGGACTTGCGAGAACTAATTGAAAGTGTCCCTATAGGAGAGAAATGCATGCTACTCTTTGGCTCTTTCTGTCCCGCTTTTCTAGAAATGGCTCAGAGTCCATTAGGATTCGTGAATATTGTATAAATTAGCTATGTGAAGCAGCTTGGGTCAGAAAGTTCTTTTCCACAGCCCTGTGCTCCACATCCATTCATTCTAGGGATGGGCTCCTCATCGACAGCTTTGCCTCTGCTCCATCACACAGGTGCAAGTGGGGCAGTTTCTCATTGGAAATACAGTCTGCGTGATATGGAGAGAGGATGCGGGAAGCCCTGTCACTCTTCGTGGCAAGAAATTTTTTCTGGAATCAGCCTCTACTGTCTTAAAATGGGAGAGGGAATCTGTCCTTGGCTCAGGTGGGTGGGGTCAGATGATGAAAATTCTCATTAGCTTGGAAGAGTGCTGGGCAGAATCCAGTTTGGAAAATTACAAATCCAGTTGGTCAGAATTGGCTGTTTCTTATGTGTGACCTATTCGTGGTATGCCAACTGGACTGCTTCGTAAAACAGGGCGAGGAAAGTGTGAAATATTTTTATATGAAAGCTTTAGCCTGTTTGGCACCCATGAAAAGACCTATTTGTACACTCCTACTTTCACCCTGTTTCTGTGTTCTCTAAAGTAGCACAATAGAATTGAGTGCTGCAAAGCACCCAGTTTCCAGTGAAATGTTTTCAGCAACCAATGTCAGAAATAGGCTTGCTTCTGGACTAGCCTCATTAATGGCCAACACCATTTTCCATGGAATGGCCTTGGGACAAATGTCACCTTATCATTATGGGGTTCAAATAGGAAATAATTTTTCCCCAAAAAGGAGAAATGCTTGTGTTCTTACTGCAGATTGCTTTGACTCAGTTTTTATAGGATCATAGCCTTTCAGTTACAGCCTTGTATTTACAGGAAGACAAATTAATTCATTTCACTGTGTCACAGCTAAAGGCAAGTTGAGGTGGTTGGTGCAGAATGGACCATAGGTGCAAAGCCCAAATAGTTAAGTCATTCGAGGAAAGTTTGAGAGTGCTGTGTACTCTCCACTGGGCACCATACTGGGTCTGTTTTATGCCATGAAGTGCCACTAATGTGACCTCAACCCTTGTGAATGTGGAGGGCTTTTTAAAATGCAGCTCTTCCGCCAGGGTGGGGCTGAATACTGGAGTGCTGAGTGCTCGCTCTGCTTGTAGTCATCTCCCCTTTCTTGGCTCGTTGTCCTACTGCAACATGGCCACTGTCACTTGGCAGTAGTTCCTTGCAACTCTTAGCAACACAACCTGAATGCATTTGCCCCACCTCCACCCCCATCTGGCTCCTCCTTCAAGACTTCCCTGTGCTGCACTGCTGTAACTGCAAATGCCTGGCGGTTAATTTATGTCTTCCTTTATTCTGATTAAAATTACAGTTTTGTGTGACAGACAAGGTTAAATTCCCATCTGGACTTTTTTTTTTTAACAAATGAGTCAAGGATCCTGTAATACTCTTGACTCAGATTCACACCTCGAAGTGAGGCCACCCTGTCCACCTCTATCTTCAAGCATTGTTAATGACCTTTTGTTAATCTGTAGACATGTGGGGACTCTGATCTGCTCTTGGGTCACTGGCTAGTAATATGACTTTTTTTTTTTTTTTTTACTTAATGCATCTTAAGCAGCTCCAAGATTGGGTGTTACTTGTGTGCCATGTGTTAGTGGAACAGAACTCGGCCCCAACTGGATTCCACTGGTGGCTGAATCATTATCTAGTTGTTGCCAGGGGCACAACTGAATTCAGCTGGCTTTAAAAATGGAAAAACAGCCTGACTCGATTCTTGGTTGTCATCTACCACTTTTCTTTGCCATGGTGTGATTTGGTTAGGCCTGTCCCAGGAAGGGAGGACAAGATGGAAATGGCCAGATGGGAGCAGGTGACCCATGAGGAAGTCTAGGCTGAGAGATACAGGGAACCTCCCACCATGGCCAGATAGCCTTCTTCACAAGTCTTGACAAATGAAGAGCCTTTCCCCAAAGCCAAGGCCCTTGGATCCACCAGTGACTTCAAGCCCTGTCCCTTTCCACAGCCCCACTCCAAAGCCTGTCATCTCCATTGCCCAATCCATACTCTGCTAAGCTACTGTTAATGACTGTAATTTACTTTTCTGAGAGACTTTCTGGGAATTATGAACTGCACGCTAGGAGGCATCCCCAGATCTCCGGACAAAAAGTACTTGGAGTGATTTGAATAACCTTTGCCACTCACCAGCCATGTGCCTTTCTGCCAGTTAACCTTTTGGAGCCTGTTTCTTTATCTACCACCCAGGGTTTATAAGGCTGCCCTTACTAGTTCTTGCAAGGATTAGCTGGTGACAAGTCTAGGGGTCATGGAAGCTGCAGATACAAGGTAACCGTCATGGTCACATGGGGCTCCTCTGCTGTCCAAGTCTGCTGGCTCCCTCTTCCCCTGATCTTCCCTGGTCACCTCCATCCGCCTTTGCCCATAGTAGTTACTCCATTTGTTGCTCAGTGCTGAATGTGCCTTTAATTTTGAATAGGTAATCCTTTCACATGCTTCACAAATCAGTTAAGTCTTTCTTGCATCCCTGACCTCCAGCAAGCCCAGCTTCTCACCCCTTGAGCACCCACTTTTGTTCCTTGTGTATCTTTTCAGGTCATTTATGCATATATACAAGCAAATACACACACATATATACACATATATATAGTGTGTGTGTGTGTTTGTGTATACATATATATATATAATTTTTTACTGTGATACAAATATATTCAAGGAGCATTCCTATTCATGTGAGACAAGCCATACCAGAAGTCAGAATATCTGTAAAAGGTGAGCCCAGAATTGGGGGATGGTTTTGCAATCACATTCCTTTGAATAGGGCATTTTTTTATTGATTCCGGCACACTGGAATTCTAGTTTTCAAGACAAATCAGAAACTGCCATTCATCCCTGACCCTTACCACAGATGTCCAGATAATATGGGAGCACAACCAGTTTCCAGACAGACTCTTTCTGATCTGTGACAGGACATTCAAGAGCAAGCTCTAGCCAATATCAGCAGTGCAGGCCTCTGATCCAGGTCCAGAAGCCCTTGCAATGACCTAGACAAGTTGCTTCCCCACCCCCATCTCGGCCAATGCCTAATAAAGCCTGTCCAGCAGTAACGTCGGGCAACAACTGTCTGGCTTTCTTAGGCAGGCAGAAGCAACTGCCAAGGCATCTATCTTGTGGAGCAGATATCACTAACCAAGTAGGTGGTGCAGTCTCAGGATTAACCACATATGTCGACGGATCTGGCTCCCTTTCCCTCCCCACTCTTTATGCACAAGCAAAAAAGCTTCCACAGAATTTCCTCCTAGCCCAGTGCTTTCCATTTGACAGAAATTACCCCACCAATAACCTTTTTTTTAAAAAAAAGTTTACTTTTGCCCCTGCAGATGGAAGTTAAAGCTGCTTCCTTCAGGTAGCCCTGGGAAGCGCATGGACTCATGCCTCTTGGTCCTCACCCACTTCCCCATTGTCCTGCCACCCAGAACAGCAGTCCAAGGCTTCCCCAGGATTCAAAGTGCAACTTGGGGCTGTGACCTGAAACTTGAAGTTGTGAAACTCCACTCTGTCACTTGATGACTCTGGCCCTGGGTTTGAGTCATTCCTGTTAGGCTATGAATTTGAGTAAAAGAGATGAACATGTCTAAATTTAGGTGAAATTTGCAGTTAACTGGAAAATGGTGGGTCGTGATTCTTACTAGACAGGGTTAAGGTGCTTCCATTTGAGTGAGAATATCAGGAGAAAAATAAAGGGGTTTGTTCAGTAAATATCATTTTCCCAGTTGTAGAGCCCAAATTGTCCCAAGATGCAAATAGTTTTCCTCCACTGTTAGACCAAGCATCAGCACTCTTTGCTTACCAATCCAGTGCTCACTTGGGGCTACAGGGTTAGGCAGAACACCCTGCCTGCTCCAGGAACATGTACCTAGAAAGTGGGCCTCACCAGGGTCAAGGGACTTGTCTCTACTTGGATGTATCTCCTCAGCTCCATGCCAGTACCAGCCTGGCAGATCTGCATGTTGGGCCAGCTGCCCACATCCCTCTGTCTGCCCCTTCCCTCCCAGGCTCCACTAGAGTAGGCAGGTGGGGCCAGTGTTAAGGATGCCCTCCTGGTGACGCCCAGTCTTCCAAGATAGTGTTTCTGGTAACTGTTGTCTCTGGTTCTGACAAGTCATTGCCAGGAAGGAGGGTAGTTTAGTCCTGTAGTTTAGCCCATTGGAGTTCACTCACTAGATATTATATAACTCCCTCAAAAAAAGGTTTATGAAATGCTGAGTGTCAGGTTTCATGGACGAGTTTGTACACTAAGAATTCTGCAGAATATTTTTAAACATTCGCAGTTTTGTAAGCTATATTTTTGTATATTGCTATTTTAAAATTTTAATGCATTTTGCTAATCTTTAAAAAATAAAACATGCATGTAATTGACTTAAAATGTAAATAAAGAGCAAATTTTGAAAAATACTTCATGTTAAGCATGTACCCACTTGTGGTCACCCGCACCCCATTTAAGCCCATGTAGCAAGAGTTGGAAAGGCAAGGTGAATGGTTCTGATCAAATAGAGCTGGTCACCAGCAATATGTGATTGTGAGGAAGAAGCCTCTGGCCTGTCTCTTCCGGGGGTGTGGGGTACAGGTCAGCACTCCCTTCTGGGGGTGTGGGGTGCAGGTCAGCAATGATGAGTAAAGTACTAGGTCACAGAGAGAGAAAAGGCAGAGGCCAAGGACCAACCTATCATTCTGGCCTCGGCTCTGCAGATGTGCCCGACACACAGGAGTAGTTTCCCAAATATGGATACTAGTGCTCAGGGGGGGTTCAAGTGGTAGAACTAGCCCACACCCCACCCCTCTGACCTAGAAATAACTATTCTGTTACGAGAAAAAAAAAAGTCTCTTGGTCCAGTCACCCTGCAGCAGCTGCCATTTCTCCTCACCACCCCTTGCTAGGACCTCTGCAGGTCAGTTTATGCCCCATAGCTTTCAGGGCAACTGCCATCTTCAAGACCATCCATGATCCTGCAGATAAATCAGGGCCACTTCTTAATGTAAATGCCTAGAGAGCTCCTCTCCTCAGTCTCCTGAGCAACATACTTCCTCCAGCCCCATCTCCGACCTCTCTTGGGATCTTTGCAGCCTTTTCCTTCTCCACCTCGTTATTCTCACTCTACCTTGGTAGTTACTAAATTCCCACTCACATGCACATTTTCAGGTCTGTTATTTCCAACCCAAATATCCAGCTGCCTGTTAGATATCGATCACAGTCCGAAGCCAAGCCTCCCCAACAAGCCTTGGCGGCCTCACAGAACCTCCCCACCTCATATCCAATCACCATCTCCCAGGGATCAGCCCTCTAACCACCTACCTCTCCCATCTTGGTTCAGGCCACCTTCCTTTCTCACATGGGCTATGACCACAGATACCACCCCACCACCACCACCACCACTGCCTCTAGTGGGGGGGTGTGGGGTGGGACCTTTTGGGATACCATATGGAGGGCAGAATGTTAGGGACAATTGCTGAAATAAAATGCAGTGGTATAGACCAGGGTGGTGGTGGCAATGGTGACTGGAAATTGAGTTTACGTGCATCTCATGAGCTGGCACAAAGAGGAGGATGCTGAAGGAGGTTCAGGGGAAAGGATGCTGACACTTCTGTGCAGGGATGGCTTGGAGATAGACAAGTGGAGAGAGGGGAAGGCATTCATTCTTGGGACTAGAGCTCAGAGGCAAGCCCTGGGCCACACACACTACCTCAGAAATGTCAAGGTGATTACCAATGACAGAAAGGGAAATCAGGACTGTGCCTGGGGGCTGGCAATACTGAATTGTTTTCAGGGAATAAGCTGGCAGATAGAAGGGCCCTGGAAGGCAGAAGAGCAGGTGGTACGTTTTGTTAGAACTAAGACTGACGTAAAATGTTGGTTAGATTTAGTAACAAGGTTCATAGAGTGGTAGTATAAGCTAAGCTCAGGTCACCAGACAATGGGAAGTGATGGGTCCATGGAGGCAGATGACTGCAAGGCAGGAGAGGGAGCTCTAGCTATGTGACTGGTTTGCTCCTCTGTTCAATTGTGGGGATCATGAGAGTTGCAAGAAGACTCAAATAAAGCACTAGCACAGCCTGGTCAGTGTAGGTGGGACAAAAGCCTAGGCAGGACAAAGGCCTAGGAGGCAGGGTCTGGGTTTTCACGAGAAGTAGGTGGCTCCAAGATTCCTCCCTTCTCTTAACTTCCTGGAGAACAAGGGGGGGTCTCTCTGCCCAAAGCAGAAGGTGGCCTCAGGCATGAGGGGCTCGAGAAGCACAACTATGGTACTAGTGAGTGGGTTGTGGCACTGTCTTTGGTGACCGTGGAGGGAAGGTGGGGCCACCAGGCGCACTAGGGAACAGCCAAGGTCAAAGGACCAGATTCCGCTTGACTCAGGCCTGCACCCAGGGGCACTGCAAGGAGTGGCAGCAGAGACCCTGATCCCTGCCGCGTCCCTCCAGCTCTGATGCCTGCACCGGGGGCCAAAAGCACCAACAAACCGTGTGCCAGAGACTGTACACAAAAGCGGCCACCCTCGGGAAATGGACATGCCATACCCTGCAGGTGGCAGCCCTCAGCTCACACGGCCACCAGCACGGGCCTCTGCTGCCCCCACGCGGCCAACACAGGGGGCTCCGAGGAAGCCCAGCCAACTAGGGACGGCGCCGGCCGTAGCCCCTCCTTCCTGACCCCTCCTCCGTCAGCGACCCAGCCCCGCCCCCCTGCGCCCTTCCGTCCCTAGGAACCTTCCCTCCCAGGAACCTCGCCTGAAACCAATGAGTGCAAGGAGGCTGCAGAGCCTTGGAGTTTCCTTCTAGTTCAAGATGCTCCACACAAACCCTTCGTTACCTTCAACAGTGATGCAGGCACCAAATAATACACAAAATAAGACACAAACGTTGCTCTCTATCTCCAAGGGGAAGGTTTTAAAAATTATTCTGCACAGCAGAAGAAAAAGGTTCAAGTCAGTCTCTACCAAGACTCCATCTGGAAACCTGTCTCTCCCGTCAAGCTGCCTTTTGAGCCAGACTGCCAGGGAAATCAAGCCTGTGCCTGGGGACAGGCAAACACCAAGACCAAGGGTGGCAGAAAGGCAGGGAGAACTCCTCCCTGCTCCCCATGAATTAATCAATGGACACCTCAATTCCCAGTTTTCTACTAGCATGAAAATATAATCAGATTCTCCCTAGTTCCCTGGAGAAATACTGATTCTAGTAACCCCTTTTGTCTGGTTTTAATCTTCCAGATTATGCTTTTTGTACTTCCTTACTTTCATCAGGTCAGTAATTCCCTCACTACACAAGGAAATTCTGCCCAGGGAAGAAGTGCTGTCTTTCCAAACAGGATTTATGGTGTTAAGTAACCTGGAACTGCCCTTCTAAAAGTTGCTTAATTGTCAACAAAGTTACAAGTATAGAATTAACCTGCCCACGTAGTTTGCAAAACCTTGAAATAAAACATGTTTTTCAATACATTCACACAAAGGCTAAATGCACACCAGAGTTAATGCACTGGAGATGATCTCCAAGACCATGTTGACAAAACTGTGATTAGGTTATAACACGTAGTATCTTCTCTTACATTCAGCAAGTTCAACAAGACACAAAACCAGTCAGCTGAACACTGAAGAGCTCTGCCCTGAAGTGGCTGTGAGTGAAGCACCGCACATTTACAAAGCTACACTGAAGAGCAACTTAAACAGCAAATCCTCACTGCCATGAACATGGTCCGCTTTTCATATATTTTTTTTTTTCCTTACTGGTTACTAGAATTTTTAAGGATTTATCTTGATGTCTTAGAAAAATACACTTGTCCTTTCTTGCTTTGATTCGGGTAGCACACAATCATAAAATTAAGTCTCTTAAAAAAAACAAAAGTTCACGGATCCCATTGTGGAAGTTTCTGGGAACCCCCTCCCCAGGTAACATCAGGGGATCTTCAACAGTTCAAGGAGTGCTCCAACGGCTCCAAAATAACCCTGGAAAAAAAAAATACATGAAAAGTAAGAGCAACTTTCCTTAGAACTATTTAAATTACCATAAATATAATTACTAGGATTAAAGCCAATACTATCCTTAATTCCTGACACCCATTTCCTGAGCACCCATTTTGCTGAACCCAGTATTTTCGATCCATGTTTGGGAATCCGCAATTGGGAAACTGAAGCTGGGAATTTGAAATACTGTTTCTGGTCTGTAGTTGGTTGAACGTGTGATTGTGAAACCCACAGATACAAAGGGCCAACTGTATTTATTGAAAAAAATCCACATATACATAGACCTACTCAGTTCGAACCCATGTTGTTCAAAGTCAATTGTATTTCAAGACTCAGCCCAAAATAATCAAAGTTCCATATGTACAGAAATCAACACTAGCATCAAAGGCCTGAATGAAAATGGAAAACAGAGACAGACTTGCAAGGTTAACCAGAGAGAAAAATTAAGTCAGTAGGTAACAAGAATGACTAAAAATATGAAAACAAAATTTCATAAAGGGTCCATATTATAACTGTGATGTGAAGAGATAAGTAAAAAAAAGTCAACCTAAAAAAAATCTCCATGTTCTACCTAGGAAAAGGTTG